TTGTCATGCACACCCAAAATACAATGGACCAATGCGAATGGCATCTGTTGGAAAGTGATTTAACCGAGATATTTTCCTTTTGTATTATTTTTTTCATTGAGATTTTATTTTTGCTACAAAATAAAAAAGATTTTGCTTTAAAATAAATTTGAAGAGTTTTTCTAAAAGATTTCGGACTATTGATTATGGAATAAAAATAAAAATAAAAATTATATAGATGAAAATATATCTATTATACTAAAAACTGAAAGAGTATTTATGTTGTTTCCAAAACGAAAAGGAAAAAAATATTTTGTTTTTAAGTAATTAAATAGTACAATAAATATTATTAATTGTTATTTTAAACGATATCTTTAAAACACTGGTTAGCCAGCCCCTTTCATTATTGAATTTATTATTTCTGTTTTTATTGTAAAAAATTTTTTTGTCACACTCACATAAAAATGAGTAAATATTATTATAAAAAATTATAAAATTTAATTTTATATGAGTGTGATAGAATTTTTTTTTTTTCTGGAATATAAATAGAATTTTTTTCCCCTTCATTATTATAAGAAAAATCATTAACTGCCGCTGCTTTTGCACGCTTTGTTATCAAACCATGCATACACAGCATAATGAGCATGCCTGTTCCGCATGTTAATTGTGATATTTGTTATAGGCCGTTGGATCTTAAACATCGTCATCATATCGTGCTGGTTTTAAGGTGACGCACTCACACACCATTTTCATGGGCTTTGACGACGAGTGTGCTTCTTGCCTGGTTGGCCTCAACTTGGGGATGTACCACACACAATTATGCCCAATTAACAAAATTACAAAAAAGGAAAAGTGTGTCTGATTTTGAAGGAGGTAAAGTTGTGTCATTTTAAGAGAGAAAGAGATAAATAAAGTAGAAGACAAAATTAAAAAAAAAATGTAGATTTCGCCTCTTTGTGAAAGTGAAAGAATATAAATTATGTCATTTAAAATGATAAACACTCCTCCCTTACAAAAAGGAGAATTCTAACAGGAACATAACGTGATAAAAATATTGTCCTTGGATAAAACTTTTGAAAAAAATAATTTTTTAGAGAATCATTAATAATATTTTCAATGATATTTAAATAAACAATCAAATTCCGATTGTAATCGGAATAATTTTGATTATTTTATGTAACTATAATAGCACTGGAACGATATAAATATGTATTCTTGATAAATATTATATTGTTATTGTTTACAAAAATATGTAATTTATTCATATATTATAAACTACTTTTTTTTTGGTACACTATATTATAAACTATTGTATAATTATTATTTTTTTGGGTAAAAGTCATTGTGTTCGAAACGTTGAAAGCACTTCATAGTTATGTTTGATAATGGATAAACTTTAAAATTAAATTTAGATAAAATTTTAATCATATATATATATATATATATATATATATATATATATTCTTTGACACAATGTCAAAATAAAAATCTGACACCAAATCAGAACCATTAATTTTCGTCAATCGACGATTATAATTTATTAAGAATTACTAATTAATTAAAATTTGTGACCCAATAAATTATAATCGTAAGATTAACGGAAATTAAAGATTAAGATTTAATATCCAACTTTTTAATTTGACACCAGTGTCAAAGTATTCAACCATGTGTGTGTGTGTGTGCAAAATGATTTGTCATGTGACCGAATCTAAGATTTGGTTCAGTCAAAAAATTATAACTATGTATGACATAGTTATAATATTAAAATTATATTTTTTTCTCTCTTTATAAATTTAACTATGTAGTACGTGTAATACATAGTTATTATATTAAATTTATTTTATTTTCTCTTCTACGTCACCCAATAAATGTCTGAAAAGTTATTGAGGAGAGAAAAAAATAGCTTTAATATTATAACTATGTACTGCAGGTAATACATAGTTAAATTTCTGAAGAGAGAAAAAAAAACACAACTTTAATATTATAATTATGTACTACTCGTAGTATATAGTTATAACTTTTTTACCGCACAAAACAGTAGATCGGTCATTGTACATTCGTTAAATCCATATATGTGTGTGTGTAAATTTTATTTTAACTAAAATTTGAATGTTGAGCATTCAAAATTAAGCTTAATAGTACTTACTTAGTAATAAATGGAGGTTCTATCAGAAAAAAGGAGTATAAGTAGATGTTCTATTTTTCCCCTTATTTGAACTTGAGTTAAAAAAAAATCTCAATTAACAACAATTTTAATTTTATATTTTACATTAAGCTATTACCTATCAACATACTGCCATTTTTATTTGAAAACTTGAAGTCCAATTAGTAAATAGGTTTATTTTTTTAAATTTGTTTGTTGCTGGCCCAAAATCGAATCGTTTATATTTTAAACTTTGACTTATTTAAATTGTTTAGTAATTAAATATATTTATTTTTGGCAAACAAAACTGACTGGTCAATTAAACCAGACCAATAAAATGCTAGATTAGACCCAACTCGAGTTGTACCAACTTATTTAGACAAATCCTATTAGGTTTATAGAGTTTAAAAGGTAACTCAACCAAAGAACATCGTTTGAGTTGGTCATAGATTTGAACAGGATTGAATGAAAGATGATTTATTCTGCTTAAGCAAGGTTTTTGGTTCAGTTCTTGTAAATGTAACAAATTTTTTTTTGAAGAGATAATAATCCTATAATATGGATATTTGTGACTCGAATAGGATTATTTTCCATAGAGAATACATATAATATATATAAATTTTTTTTTCAACTTTATATGTTAGGTTAGAAATTTTATTATATGTAAGCCACTCAGAGTAAGTAAAAATTCTAACGTCAATAAGAAAAGAGTACGTCCATTCTTAATTTAATATAAAGTGTGCACCTGGCTATAAAAAAAAAAAAATATATATATATATATATATGTGTGTGTGAGGTAGGATCATTTGACACTAGTGTCAAATTTAAAATTTGATACTTCATTTGAGAGTCATTAGATCAAGAAAGGTCAATGGTGTCACATGCTTACAAATCAGAACCATTGATTTTTTTTAACTAAAAGCTCTCAGATGAAGTGTCAAATTTTAAATTTAATACTGGTGTCAAAGGATCCTATCTTTCTCTCTCTATATATATATAAAGTGCAACGTCATTTCTACCACACGTATATTTTTTTTGAAAAAATGTATACGTGCAATTGTTATATTTTTAAACTTGGAACAGTGCCAATGCCAACAATTCCTTATCCGCAACTTTAGGGTTAATTTATTTAACAGATACTTTATGGTTAATTTAAGAACTTAAATAGTACGTATAACGTAAGGATAAGAACCGAACCATATTAAGAAGATAAACATGTATAAAATTCAATACTGGTTTTGCTTTACAATGATAAAAACATATACTCTTTTTTGATATATTTAATTTGAAACGTGAATTACCACTTACTACGAGGGTTTTTATTTGGACAAATTAAACTTTACCTTATAAAGATGAGACAACACAACTCATTTATTTTTATCTTATACTGTCAGATGAGAGATATTATTATTATTTAGGAAATCAAGCAAAATTTTCACCTAAATAAAAAAGAAAGATAGTAGATATTCTGTTGTAAAAGTTAACTGTTGTAAAAAGAAAAAAAATATATTTGAAGAATACTCAATAAAAACCACAGAAAAGGGAAAAGCTCTCGCTGGACAAAGAAGAATTATTCCTTTGAGAACTTTTTTATTAATTTGTAAAAGTAAAAAAAAAAAAAAAAATTCCTCTAAAAATATTTACCAATTCTATCATAAAAAGAGAGAATCAGAGACAAAATTAGGACTGCGTAAGAGTGGTAAATAGTTCATATCAATTTAACTATTCAACAAAATTTTAGCTGAATTATACTAAATTGTTTTTGACTGTATAACATTGTTCTACTCAAATTTTATTCAGATATTGGGCCTTGGGTTTACAATATGCCAATCCAATAAAATTTACGGCCTAGTCTCCATCCCTGTCATGCCACCAATTCATGGGCTAAACATCACCCACCAAATCCACGTGCCCAATGAGAGAATTCGAGATAATCGGAATTAAATACTGAATAGAGAATTCGAGAATACAATTTGGAACACAGTGATTATAATAAATCTTTTCAAGCTAACATTGATTTTAGTAAATTCATGCAAGTCAGAAAGAAAAAGAGATGTTACTTTCACACCATTGGTACAAACCAATTTTACAACAGTTAAAAATGATTTATTAATTATCAACATACATAAATTAACATTCAACAATTAATGATTAATTACAGTTGAAGTTAGTTGTGACTTTGGACGAATTTCATTTACAATATTAAGAGTTGAAATTTTACAATCGTCACATTAATAAACATTTTATCTAACCACCACACCCCGTCATTTTGGTATATAAATATGAAAACTGATGTTATCAACAAAAAAAATAAAATATGAAAACTGAAAAGAACATATTTAATGTTTATGGCTAGCACACTCTATTCTCCAGTTTATAGTATATCTTTTAGGTTTTTATAATTATAAGAAAAGTGATTGTGTTACGTTACAGATATTTGTTTTTCGTGCCTTAATTATTTTTTTTTGCCTGAAAAAATGCTGAGTCCCACAAAATGTTGTATGTGTAGAAAAAATAATTGTATCATGTTGCATGATGAATATAAATCCCTATCTTTTATCTCAATTTTTCTTTCTTTTTTAAAAGCATTCTATTCTTATTTGCAGTGAGCTTCACTTTTACTATGTGATGAATCAAGTCCAACGATTTAAAAATACAAATCTGAAAGTTAAGAATAACATATCAGTATCACCATGTTTTACATATTAAATAAAACTCTTTTTACAAATAATATATTTTATTATTTGATAAATACACGGAAGAAGCAAAATTTAAATGTGCTAATGGAAAAAGAGGACAGTGTCGTCGTTGTAAAATTTTCAAATTTTACATAAACTCTTTGAATCTCTACAATTAATATTGTACATGAACTCTGTCCTTAAATAATAAAATCACTCGGTGCTGCCTTCGACACATGGATTGTGATCCTGTCTTCTGTTGGAGGCTGACATGGGCATTCTAGTGCTATGAATCTTGGGACCTTATCTCCTGGCATCAGCACAGGCAAGCTCCTAGCTTGGTTCTGCTTCATCATCTGAACACAATACCACAAATCCCATTAATTACTTCCTCACAAAATAAAAGAATAAATAATATTAAGATAATAATAATTGGCTTTTTGTGACTTTGTGAGCAACAGAAATGATTACCAAAACAGGAAACCCTGGTTTCTGTGGAGAGGATGTAAAGTTTACTTGTATCTGAGCCTGAGAGTTGATAACCCCAGAAGATGAAAACAAAGATTGTAGCTTGTTCCAATGTAAACAGCAGCAAAAGAAGCAGCAAATGAACAATAACAAGGTAACGAGAAGGGCCAAACCCAGAGGAAACCCAATAGATACTTGACCCGATGAGTCCTCAATCTCCATTTATCTTCTCTGATGTTTTACCTCTTTTTTCACCTGAGAATGAATGAAATCATATAAAGAAGAAGATTTATTTAAATAAGAAAGAGACGTGGCGGCTTTGCTTTTGATTGATTGGGTAGTTGATGATAGTGCACTTACTGCTTAGCAGAGTGTGACATTTTTAATATTGATAGATATTGATGTGACTTAGTATAGAAGTGGGGTGAAGGTACATTTTCCGTTTCGTACGGAAAGAAAATGGTTCTGCTTATAATAAGAGGCTAAGAGCAATCATAATTTTATACTTGTGATTCTCAATTTTTTTTTCTTAACAATTAAATGCTATATAACTTTTTTCTTAAAAACCCGTAGCATGTTTTTGAACACTTAAGTCTATATATAACGAATTTGCTCCAACCACTAGCACCAGTTTGCAGGACCTGTTTACAGATTATTGTGAGTAGATTTTAGCATGTGTTTCTGTATCGTTTATTTGAATTTTGATTGCTGAAGCTATGTACTTGAATTTTAATTTCCCAATTTTCCTTAATCAGCTTAGAAAGAAGGTTCATCCTCTGAACCCTGAAACACTACAGAGCAAGCTAGATAGAACCCAATTCGAGCTTTTAATCAAGATTAAATTCTAAACCTAATGTCGCTCGTACTCAACTCAATGTATGAATCATAACCTAAAGAGCAATGCTCTGGCAACATACGTTTGGTGAGCAATTTTTCAACTATGAAAAAGAAGAAAGGGTTTTTATCACATTCAGATTTGCACCTTTAATCTTGTGGCGACTTGCTAAATAGTCTCCCAGTAATAATAGCATTGGCAACTCAATATAACCTTATTATTGGAATCACAAAAGCCAACCTCTAAGGGTAGTTCAGTTGGCAACTGAGCTCTTAAGAATTTGCTTGAGTCCATCAAGTAAATTTTTGAAAAATCTTTGGAGGTTAGATGATGTATCTCTCTCTTTTATCCTTTTTTCTATAACGAAGCTCAATGCATCTACTGTTCTAATGAAGAGCTAGCTTACAGCCGTACCGCAAAGGCTAAAAAAAAAAAAGTCATATGTGATGACTAAGGTAGGTTTCCCATAATGTCGTCCACTTGTTTGTTGTTTTAAAATTTTATTTTCCTCCGTCTAAAAGAAGTCGTCCACTTTCAGTGGCATACAATATGTAGTGATAAGGTTGACCTACCACAACCATGATGATGGGTGGTGTACTAGTGTTAAGCACGGGTGCTTATAAAGGGCTCTTTTTCACCTCACGGAACTAAATCCCACAACCAGTACAAAAGCAGGATTGAAAACAAAAAATGTAGTGTATGTTTGATTATATTCTGTTTTTTTTTTTTTTTTAAATTATTTTGTAAAATAGTTAATGAAATATGTGTTTTCTATGACTTTTTTGATTTGAAAGTTATAAGTCAAAATAAAAAACAAAAATAACTTTATCTAAATTTGATTCTAAAAAAAAATAAAAAAATTACTATTTTTATTTTATTTTTTACAAAATAAGTCTTATTAAACAAGTATTTTTTCTTCTGAAAATTAAAAAATTATTTTTCGAAACAGATTTCAAACAGGTTGTAATTTTGCACGCTACAATGCTTATACTTTTATAATTTACAATTAATTACAAAGTAATATTATATGAATTATTGTACACAAAATATTATTTATTTTATTTTAAAGCTGTGCAATACTATATTGAAAGATTTAACAAATTTTACATACAAGTGCTTTATACATTTTTTAAATATTTCACCAATAACATTATTTCATTACAAATTAAAAAATTACTGGATTGCACATTATAGTAGATTGTGTGGTTTATAATGAATCAATTCATTATAAAATAAAATAAAATTTTCTGTCTGGTCCATCCAAAAGGAGTGACAACATTAGGTCCCTGTCACTATCAAAAAATTGGAACTCATAGGTGGAAAGCATTATCATTTTGAACCTAACCCATCAAAATCAAACTGCCAAATGGAAAGAGTTTCATTACTAATATTTTATGTTGTAGTACATTCCATAATAGTTAAACACACAAATAAAAATGGTCCTCTCTCCATCCACCAAAATAAAATAAAAGAGAGGCTCCTCTTTTTATTAAGTAAGCTTTAGATTATTGATCTTCAAGATAAATACAAAAGTAATTGACAAGCTATAATCTTTGAAAGGTAAACTCTTGTCTAAACTCTTCCCATTTGACACCTTCAATATATAGTATAGTAGTCTTTAAAGTGAAAAAAGAAGAAGGTAGATGGCAGTTTATTTTTATTTTTATTTTTGGTGTGCCTAATATCACTTAAATGTAAATATGATAAAAATAAAAAAGAGTAACATTGTAGAGCCTATCATTTTCATGATCCATGAACTCGCCCATTAAGTTTCATGGCATGGACCTTAGCATGTCGGCTTATAAAACTACGGACTGGCCCATTTAATTATGACGAGCCATTAATGTTTCAGAAGTCCAATTTCGTAAACGACAAAAAAACAATATGGAAGTCAACAAGCCCCAATATTCTTTGCCTGCTTGATTGCAGCCATGCGAGCTTCTATGAGAATTGGGAAGAAGCAAGACAATAAGACATACATCTTCCTGTAAAGAACAAAACAGAGGAAGAAATACTTCGAAACCAGAAAACCCAAAAAAAGAAAGGTAAAAGAGTTGCAAGCTGTTAGGTGTTAAACACACTATGTTTCTAGATGTTAAAAAATGTTAAAATTGGTCGAGAACATAGTGTGTATGAATAAATGCAAAAGACTTTGGAGATGTTATAATTGAGTGTGATTCTGACTTAAAAAATATCATTTTCAGGTTTGAAGTGTTGAATTAAAGTTTAGATGGATTAATAAAGTTGAAGAAGGACAAAACTCAAGTCAAGCAAAGTTTGAAGGATAATTATTATGAGTTACAACTTGCTAACTTACTCGCTAAAATCACCAAACCCTAATTTAGCCTACTCTTCGTCAGCTTGCTCGCTTGAGCGAGCATTGCAAATTTGCTAAGTTGCTCGCTCCAGCGAGCAGGGGTCCAGAAGCACTGTTTTGTTATTTTATGCTCGCTGGTTTGCTCGCTTCAGCGAGCACATCGTTTAGAAAAGTCCATGGAATTTCTTGATTAATTAAAAAGGCGTGAGTTAGGGTTTGTCAATCATTCTTGGATTACTTAGGATAGTTTTGGAGGCAGAAGAGCAACACCTTTAGAGGATAAGGAAGAAGAAAGAAGAAAGAAGAAAGAAGAAAGAAGAAAGAAGAAAGATTTCACCGTGGACTTTTATCACTAAGCTTTCTCTATGACTTTTAGTTTCTTTTCATCTCTTGTTATTGTTTTTATGAACATGTTATGCTAGTTTTTTTTGTAGTTAGGGTTAGATGGAACCAATGTGTTCTTCGTGATATTTGTGCATTTCTTGTAATTGATATTCAACGTTTATTTTATGCAAATAATTTGTTTTTAATTTCTAGTGTTGTTTAGGATCTGGCCAATCTTGAAAGAAAATTAGAATCTTGCATGACAATAGAGATATTGGTATTTGATTCCGATTGATTAATTGCAAAGTTTTGTATGATCTAGGATAGACTTACGAATCCTATGACTTTTAATTCTTGTTCTTAATGCTTTCTCTAAGAGAGATCACTAAGGGATTGAGGTTTTGAATAGAGTAAATGATTTAAATTACCAAAGGATTCAAATTTGATTAATGTAAAAAGAATTATCAATAACATAAGTTGAATATTAGTTATAAGAAATGGTAGATTCATTAGGAAGATGTTGGGGATATCGAATCCCTAGCTTTATCTTTGCATATTTGATTTTAATCCTAAGTTTTAGTTTGCGTTCTTGATCTTTGATTCTTGATCTTGATAGTTGTTAGGTTGTTTTAATTTTTATTTTTATAATTCAATTAATAATATTCTAGAAAAACCTTTCGATTGATCCAACTTTGAACACGTAGTGAATTTAGTGATTGGTATGCCAATTCTCGTGGAAATGATTATTTACTCACTTACTTTATTACTTGTACGACCAGTATACTTGTCGTGATTGCAACACAAGGACTATATACATATAGAACAAACAGAAAAAGTGTGAAACTATTAAAAATACCTTGCAAAAACAAATCTAGTTATTTGAAGAGTCAACTATAATACTAGCAAAACAATTAACGAGAACAAATTTTCAAATAGAGAGATACTTTTTGGGAAAATGTCATTGAGGCTTATACTTAAATCAAACCAAATTTTTACTAGTCTTAAGTTTTGTAACCAAACCAAGTCAACTTGCCTTAGTTGAATTCAGCTCCAAACTATGGTTCATTGTATTTTAAGTGAAAGAACCTATGAATGATATAATTTTTTTGGCTAAAATTTGATCTAGACTTGAGTTTTTGCTTAGCACCAAGGCAGATTGGGTCAATCAGTTCAAGAGTTCTGGAGAAGACGTTCTACTCCTTCAGTCATGTGTTAGAATCCCCTTTTGCCCAGTAGTGTTATCCAAGAACAATGGTCGGATAGCCTTCGATAGGAAAATATTTTGAGTATCAACGGAGGTCGTTAGAGAAATATATAAATCATTAATGGATCTTTATTTAACAACTTAATTTGACACGAGTTGTCAACTCGCGCAAATTAATCAGGTTCGTAAAAAGATTTGTAGTAAAAAGGAATGACCTTAATAGTCTCACAAGGAAATTGCAGAGGAATTAATCGCTAATTAAAAACGTAAATGTAAAGAACCAATTTAACCTAAAATCTTAAGCAGTTGAATGATGGCCTTTTTAATGATTTATAATATACTCTAATACATCCCCTCACACGAGATCCCATTGGGCATAAATGGTGGATAATGCATTATGCTCAGCCTACTTGTGCTAAGAAGTTCCACAAGAGAAAGTGAGGGTGGTGATGATCGAACCCAATACACGAGGTTCTGATACAATGTAAATAACCAATTCATCCCCAAAGCTTCTTTACAGTAAAATTAAAAGGGGGGATTTTTGTTCAATTTAATTAAAATAAAACATAATGGAAATTTGGATTAAAAACGAAATTAAAAACAATCAACCCAGAGTTGGGATTCCATAGACATCCGTCATTGGAAGAATAACTACCGATTTCATGGTTGTTTCTAGCCCACCTTCAAAGGCGGGGCGGGCCAGCCCGCTTTTTGGCGGGGTGGGGCGGGCAGCCCGCTTTGCCACCTCTAATCTCACCCAAAAGTTTAAGCTGATAGGTAAGATTACGTTAATATTTTTTTTTATATATATATATAATAAAATGTTTGAGTAATAACGTCACAACTGTGTAGTATACTTGCCTACATATTATTTTGACAAAAGTTGATCAATTGTACTAAGTGTAAAAAAAATAAATTTTTAACATAATTTAGCTAGATTTAAAATAATTAAAATTTAATAAAGGAAATAATACTCATCGAATAGTTAACAAGCATGTCACATTATTCCCGCTGGCAGATGTGAGAACTTTGTTGGTGAGTGATATGTAATCCCTCTCAGAAATCCTCAAAGAGGTTGAGAGGTTTTTCCTGACCCTAGTAGCATACCGATATCTAACCCCGCTTAAATTTTTTGTAACCAAAAAAAATAAAATATGTCACATTATTTTATTAAAACAATTTTCTCAATATAAATGCTTTTGTTATGCAGTACCTTCGTACAAATTGAGAATGGCGCTGTTTGATGGTTTCACTCCCTCTCCTCAGCAAAACACTTATCAAATCGAAAGAGAGTCACGTCGTTCATTATCTTCACCAGTAGCTCTTCCACGGCGAAAATTGTCCATTGCCCTTGAAAGCAATAAAGCAGAGAAGAAACTAGAAAGGAGATTGGAAATATAAATTGGTTGGACAAGTTGATAACTACAAATTAAATATAGGAATCTGCCCCCTAAAGCGAAAACCTATCAGAATTAAGGCCGAAAGTTGCTTTAAGTCTTTAACTAATATTTAAGAGAACTACTGTTACAACTTACGGAGACACGTACTAACTAGCCTCTGTCTTTTTCTTGCACCTACATAAGATGCATTATTCTCTCACCCGCGGGGCCAGTGACTTAGTCTTTCATGTCTCATGTCTATACAGTGTACAAGTACATGTAGCTTGACATGCTCTGAAATCAATACCATAGAAAGTTTGTTTCACAATAAATATTAAATCAATCATTGAATAATCATTACTTCCTCACCACCAATATCTATTAGTAGACCAATCTTTGTCCAAATCCTTTTCTGTACATTTGTGTATTTTCAGGTAGGCGTTTCTTTTTTTCTTTTTTCTTTCTTTTCTTCTTATTCATTTTTTTTTTTAAAGAATGAAAGGGTTTCTGTATTTTTGTCAATTCTAGTTGTAAGATCTAAGCTTCTTCCCCTTGTTGGTGGCTTTATTACGTGACATGAGTTTTCACATTTGAACTTTCTAAAAAGCAGTGAGGCCAAGTCATTGGTCATATCTGCAGGATTCTCGTGAATTATGTAGTGAGCGCGGCAATGGCAATTTTAACCAGAGCTCTCTTTAGAGAAATAACAAAAAAATAAAATAAAATAGGTTGGATTAGACTATGATTTGATTTTACAAGCAGATGACACGGGTGATTCTTATTTTATATCCGCAGAATCTAGGTATTATTTTTAGTTATTCTTTTGTTCTAGGAACTGCTAGCTAGGTTATGGACTTTGGACGTTTCACGTTTCTTTGTTACTGAATGTGAACAGGGATAGTACATGGACAAAGGACATAAGCACCCTTTCACTTAAATGACAGTTTTGGAGTTAGAATACACTAATAAGAACAAGGTTATACTCATTAATTAATTATTAATTCACAATAAATGATAATTGTTGATTGACGAAAATCAACGATGATAAGATATGATTGTAAGAGGTTGTAAAAAAAAAAATTTGTAACTATAACATTGCTCTAGTAATAATACCTGAAATATTGTTATAAAAAAAAATAAAAAATAATACCTGAAATATTTGGACTTATTTCATTTAATTTTGGAATGATCAACATATGCACGTTGGTTTCTAATTTCTACGACACTGAGATGGCTAGGTTTTAAATTTTTAGTCTTGGTAATTTATAGTTCATTGCATACTTGTTAAATTTATTGTGACACACGGGACGTGAATCCTATTATATTAAAAAAAATATGACATAGTTATGTGGGCAATTATAACCATACAAAAGTGAATCAATGGTGATAAAAGAGGAGAGAGAAAATATTAAAATTAATAGTTACTAAATCATAATCATTGATTCACTTTTGTATAGTTATGATTGTCTCACATGACTATGTCATTTTTTTTAAACATGAGAGGATCCATTTTTCACACACACAAAGAAAAGTGTGTGTTCTTTTAAATGACACACACTTTGATCATTTTAAGAAAGAGGTAGACACAAAGAGGTGTGAGTCTTATTAAAAAAAATAAAGATAAAAAAATAAAAGTGTGAGTCTTATCTCTTTGTGTCTACATCTCTCTTAAAATGATCTAAGTGTATCCTTTAAAAAGACACACTTATATATATATATATATATATATATATATATATATATATATATATATATGGAAGGATCCGTTCACATATTTTTTTTATAAATTACACTAAGTATGATCGGTCATACATTCTTGATTGAAGTATGACCGATCATACTTAGTGTAGTTTGTAAAAAAAAAATTATAAATATAACATTTTCCTATATATATATATATATATATATATGAATTGCTATTGAAAAAGATAATCTTGAAATAAAGATAAACTTTATTGCATAGGTAAATCTTGTGTGTTATGCACTTATTTTCAAAAGGTTTTCACTTATGCAAATTCAAAAGAATCAAAGAGCTCTTTGGAGCTATTTATGTTGCTGTTAGAAATATTCCTTATCACGGTGTTTTTTTTTTCTTTCCCTTAATACATTCTTCTTTTATAATTCTTTTATCCTTTTTCTTAATGAAATTTGAGTAAAGAACTCTAGATCATATTCTCACCATTAGAAACTGGTTCAAAAGACAAATTAAAGCTTCTATAGTATCAGTAATATTCAATTATCGTTGTCACATCATCCAATAGAAAAGTGTCCTTATACATAGAAGTTATAAAAAAGAGCAATTGAAAAGTCATATATGAAAAGAATAGAAACAAAAACTCGAACTTTACTCTCTTATTATGTTTTTAACATTTTTGCTTGAGCTTCCACATGCATATTCTTAACCCTCAGGGGCAATAACTAGGCTCTCTCATCCATAAATTGTATTACATGATTACATCGACATCAACACTTAATGATTGAATCATAAAAACGAGTCCATCACACCTGGCAATTTGATAAAAAATGGCCTTTGTATTAGCCATATGTGAGAGATAAAAACCAATCAGCATTAATGGATATCACCATTTGAAGCAATATTATACTCCTCCTGGTGAAGAAAAAAAAAATTATCCCAAGTACACTTGCAGCTCTTTTTTTCTTTATTCTATTCTCACAAACATCTTCCTCCATATCCTGCACTTCTAAATAATGCTTGCTTTATGTCTTCAGAACTCAGCATTGTCCTTCGCTCCATTTCCTGTTACATAACAAATAGGATTGATTACCCTGCAGTGGCTCAACAAAAAAGACAACAGAACCAAATAAGATTTTTTAGGCAGTGCCCAAAAAACTGTCATACTAATGTACCTCTGAGCAAGAAGCTTGCATTGTGAAATCATTGAAACAGCTAATAACACACTGTTGAATCTCAAGGCCTAATGCTTCCAGGGTGTTTACTGTGGATAACAACAACCCTGGCTTCCCTGCACAACAAATTTCAACCCGGGTGTCCACACTCCTCTCCACCTCAAACTACAAATTAAGACAAGAAAAAAAGAAAATCAATGCATGACTGCACCAATCACAATTGGGATCCTTAACACAGTTTTAATTCAAAGGGAAAATCCATACCTTGGGTGAATTTCTCACTAGGATCTCATTTGGCTTCTCATCTTTGAAAATGCTTGCCATGGTTGAGTCTACTTCTATTTCTTGTTGCAGATTGTTGATCTTCTCCAGAAGTTCTTTCATGTAATCAATAGTGTCTCCAAGTATAGATGTTCTGTCCATCTGTGATGAGAAATATTCAACAACAAAACAAATTAGATCTACATATGACACCTATTATATAGTAGTTCTGGTACGTGTATGTAGTACTCATTGAGTGATTCTCATTGCATACCTTACTTATCTTAGGGACAATAGCTCTTAGCATTGAAAGACGATCGTTTAATCTCTTTCTTCTTCTCCTCTCCGCCATTAGATTCTTGGAGGGTTGCCCCTGCAGCTTCTTTGCACGATTCTTTCTTTCCAAACCCATACCCATGTTGAAAACTGGCATTTCAGGGGATTGGGTTGGCTCCATTTTGCATGTGTTTTGCAACTCCAAATTCTGAAGCTCTTCCCCAAGCAAACCCGGATCCTCTTCTTCCATCATGGAAAATGGGTAATCTTCTTGAGCAAGAAATGAAGGGGTACTAAGTGTAGTATCAAGGGTATTGTAGTATGAATCGATAATCTGTGGTGCAGAAGATTCATCAAGTAAAGAGCCATAGATTTCATTGAAGGTGTAGTCGTTGTTATAACTTTGAGGAACTTCTTGACCACAAGAAGAGTTCGGGAGATAAGCTAGAGAGTTTTGATCAAAACAGTCAAAACTCCAGCCATTAGAGAAGAACTGGTTTTCTTCATTACTTGGATTGGTGTCCCATGTTTCTCTTCTTAGAGCCATTAATTCCTCCAAGAAATCCTGGTCATAGAACTCCATCTCTCTCTTTCTCTTTCTCTCTCTGTGTGTGTATGTTTTGTGAATGCTAATTCTTAAAGAAACACCTTTTGAGAACATGTAGTACTAAGATGAAGAATTTATAGGGGTATACAGCAAACAAAGGCTTGTGTGCTGTGACATATTGATTATTATATGCAATATAGTATGTATAATGTTGTATTCCTTAGCACCTATAAGCCTAAGACTGAAATGGAATCTACTTTTCATTTCACAGCGATTATGTCTTTTTCACCGAAATCTCTGCAATCAAACACAAACTGCATATTTAATTGGCATTTTTGGAAAACTTTGACCCTCATACCTGTCTGGAAGCAAAAAGGATGAAGTTACCATCATAAAACTGCCAGGTTCTTTGTATGTTTAATTAAAGCTCTGTAATATAAAATGTAAACAGAACAGAAACAAGCTCTTTTTCTATCTCTCTCTCTCAACCCTTGAACAAAACTTCTGAGTTGGGTCCCACTCCTCAATGCCTCCAAAATTTGGCTTAGCTCACGAATTCAAATGAGTTGGTGGTCTTATTTTGTTCTTTCTGCGCTACCTCTCCCTATCAAATTAATACACTTAATGCAAATCGTACACACTTGTCCAATAAAAAACCATGCTATATATTTTTACTTCATTTTCTAGTTCAATGGGTGAGGCCGTGAAGCTATAAGTATGGAACCTCCATTCTCTCGCCACCTGGCAATTAAGAGTAGGAATTCTGTATCTCTATAACGTTATATTTACGTATACGAATATAGTTGTAATACAACCTCGCTATATCTTAAACGGGTCATCTTAACTTATGCATGTGGGTTATACTAGTGTAGGATTATGCAACATCATAGGCATTTTCTAGCTTGCCCTTTTGGCTCTTTTCAATTACTAACCTTTTCTCTATGTGAACATCGTTCATGTAGGGGTTTACTAGTCTTTCTCCAGTTTTGGCTCAACTATTTTATTATCTTAATCATAATCTTCATCCTTATCCTGATCCTGATCCCACAAATTAGATTACAATTAAAGTACTGGTAAGTGATAATAATAATTATTGTTGTTTTTATCACGGTTGTAATTATAGCGGTTTTTCTTTGTAGGCAAAGCACTAGAAATATGTTCAAAAGACAAGCCAAATACAATTATGCATGGCCACATAATATGCAAGCAGATTGTATATGATAACTTGTGAGCATAAACTTATTCAATGGGTTATTATACAGTGCACACAACCTCTCCTCCTTTGGCATGCCTATAAGTCACGGATTTTGGAACCTTGGAAAAAGGTTTATGATTAATCGTCTCTTGATGAAGGGTTTCTGAGTAGCTATAGGTTGAGCATCCCTCACCAATGTCATTTTCTTTTATGAACATAGAAGTCGGCTATGGTTATAACTTTATATGTAGCGGCGAAGAATTACATTTTGAAATGCCAATGGGGGAAAAATGTAAGTCATTTTCGAGTTATGATCATCCTGTGAAGAATCTAAGATACACGTGCTCTTGGCAAGCTAATCTAAAAGTAATAGCAAGTAAATTTAGCTATAATGTGGTAGCCTTATAGCAGAGGAGTGTTTGTCAACCATATTTATAGAAAAAGATGCCTGAAAACCCCACCTTTTATCCAAACCGGCTAATATACATGAAAAAACTGCTACTTAACCTCAAATGTAACATGACCAAGTCTAAACTAATTCGTTGCAAGAAATAATTAGATAGAAATACTCACATTAGGTGACAATTAATCATTAATGATTTATTGGGCAAATTTTGCTTAATCTCGCAATTGTTAGCGATAGATTATTGTTAATCATTTTAGGATGGGTATCTAGGCTCCTTATTTATGAAAAAATGCAATATTAACAACTACGCAAGGATCAGATTTTAAAACTATACACTTTATATTCAAATTTATATTCATTTTATAGTTTTACATATAACTTTTTTTGCAAGTTAAATTTGATATTTTTTTTCTTCAATTTTTTTGTGATTTTAATATTTTCTAGGACAAGGGTCTGTGAAATTATAGATTTTAATGTTTTCGTAAATTTATACTATGTAGAACTCATCTGTGAAATTATATAAAATGATTGGTTAGACCAACAATTTTATGACATTTAGAAGAGTTTTGCTATAAACGATAGTGCCAAAAAGAATTAATATAAAAAGAAAACTGTGGGACTGGCCTTGTTTTGCTATCGCTATAGTTTTCCACATTCAAGTTTGAAATGGAGAAAGACATAATGTTTCCTCAAAGGCTATGTATGACTTTTCTGCCTTTGCGAATTTTTCTCAGCAGCCATTCTCTGTTGCAAATGATTAAACGTGGAAGTCAATCATTAACTTCACAAGAATTTACAAAAAGTTTTAGTAAAATGAACCAAGTCTGATCTTTGTTTTTTGTTTTATTTTTATTTCCTAAGTGTAGATTATGTTAAGATTTGATTCTAAAAGTTTGTAAACGAAAAAAGTTGTAAATATAACATTTTCATATTATTGTTAAAAGACATTGGGTGAAATCACTAAGAGATTTGAATCTGTGTCACGAAGATATTTTAATTAATCCTACAAGTAAAGTATAATAAAAAGAATATGATAAAACTCACAAAATGTTAGAATTATATGCTTCTATGCAGAGAAATTTGAGCCCAACGTGTGTTTTTTCTTAAGACAATTTGTCCCTTCTACATGTACCAAAGGAATGTGGACAATCGTATCACAGGATAGAACAGATTGCGTCTCCAAAATATGATGGCACTACCAATTTAGAGTTCCCTCAAACACAACCCAAATACTTAAGAAACCACACTTACTAAGTCTATGACAGAATGCACTAACACTATGGATGCATGGAGTAACTTAGAAAAATTCGGGGTACATTTTTCTGACGAGCTAAAAATGTATATATAGACACCGATCGGAAACGATGAACCAATGCCAGCTCGAACCATTACGACTGACGGTAGTATACTAGTATTTGTTGTAAGTGTTTGAAAACGAAAAAAAGTTATAAATATAACATTTGCATATTGTTGTTAAAAGATATTGGGTGAAATCACCGAGAGATTTGAATCCATGTCACGAATATATTGTAATTAATCATACAAGCAAAGTACAATAAAAAGAATATGATAAAACTCATAGAATGTTAGAAACAGATGCTTGTATGTAGAGAAATTTGAGCCCAACATGTGTTGTCTCATTAAGACAATTTGTTCCTTCTACCGATGTCAAAGGAATATGGACAATCGTCTCCCAAGATAGAACATATTGTGTCTCCAGAATGTGATGGCACTACCAATTTAGAGTTCCCTCGAACACAACCAAATACTTGAGAATTCGCACTTACTAAGTCAATGTCAGAATGCACTAATACTATGGATGCATGGAGTAACTTAGAAAATTTGGGGTAGATTTTTTTTCTGACGGGCTGAATATAGACACCGATCGAACACGATGAACCACCGCTAGCTCGAACCATTACGATTGACGGGAGCGAACCAATACTGGTTCGGTTAAAATAACTGAATGCACCGTTTCAATTAAAAAAATGAAAAAGCAAGCGAGGGCTGTTTGGAAAAAAATAAAAAATAATTTAATAAAAAATCATTATTATTTTATCTCACACATGACCGGCCGGACGAATGGAGGCAGCGGCAAGCGAGGTGGACCAAGGCCTATCTGCGTCCTCCCCCCTCCACAAAAGTGGTGTGCCCCCAAGGGAAAAACTAGAGAGGTGAAGTGAAGGTTTATAAACCCTTCCACTTCTTATTTCTTGTTCAATGTGGGACTTCTATCCACACACTCCTTTCACATTTCCTCTTTCTCTTCTTCTTCAAACCACTTCTTATTCATAACCCATGAGATTTAGACACAAAAATCTAGGGGTGTTCATCAACCGATCCAAACCGAATCAAACCGCGGTGATCGAACCGAAAAACTGATAACCGAAAAATCGAAAAATCGAAAACCCAAAAAAACTCGCAAATTTTAATTGGATTGGATCGGTTTTCGGATGGGTTGATGAATACTGATCCAATCCAAACCGATCCAATATATTAATTTTTCTCTACCTACTTGGACTTTTCCCCAATTATAGCCCAAAAATTTCTAAACTCAAGACCTGTTAACCATCAACTACACCCAAGAAAAAATCTAATCATATCTCATCAACAAAATTTCATCTGTGTGAGCTTCATATTTCATTGTCCCAAAAAAAATTATATTATCGTTTATTGATGCTTTTTATTTCAAAAAAGCCAATATATACAAAAGATGTTATTTGCACAATAATCAAGAAACAAATTTTAGGATTTTAAAAAAACCGAAAATCGATCCAATCCAAACCGAAAAAAATTGGATTAGATAGGATTTGAAAAAAATCCAAACTGAATGGATGATTAAATGATTAAATCGAAGGTATTGGATCAGATGATTTTTGCTTCCAGATCCAATCCAGACCGCGAACACCCTTACAAAAATCCAACACACACACATATAGAGTGCCAGCAAAACGAACTTGGCCCGCAAGGCAGCCCCACCCCGCCCGCCAAACAGGGCGGGGCGGGACGAGACAAATTAGTGTAAAACAGGTTCAAGCCGGCGGGGCAACCTACCCTGCCTACTAAACAAGACAGGATGTGCTGGCTCATTTTTTGGTAGGTTGATAGTGGGGCGGGATGGGTCGCCTTTGCCACCTATATATATATATATATATATATATATATATATATATATATATATATATATATTAAAAAAACTATCCCAGATAGAGATGAATTAATACTTCAAAATTGTATATTTGTTGAAGTAGCCAAAATTGTTTCTAGTTAAAAGGAATATTTTGTTGTTGATAACTTTTATTTTTTATGATTTTTTGTTTAAACAACAAAATGCTTTAAAATAATATTAGAAGTAGAGAATATTTTATCAAAACGAAATAATAAAATTGGTGTTGTTTTTAAAAGTGAAAGAATTGGACAAAGCCAACGAGAGAC